CAGGAACTCAGAAACTGTATTGCCAAGAAGTCTTACCAGTCTTACACATCTTTATTTTAAGGCATGACAATTCATTGAACACTTGCAGGATATGCTAGTTGGTATTTCTCAAGATATTAATGTTAAATATTTTCTAGTTAAAATATATGTTTCCTCTTGTGTCAAATGTATGTAGGTGGCAACAAACAAAAGGAAGGCCCAAGACAACAGATACAGCTGAAATACTAAAATGAAGTGAGAAATGAACCACTTTCAAAAGAGCCATTTATAACCACTATCCCTGACTTGAGATGTTAGCCAATTCAAGAACCACAAAACTAGGCAAGGCAATAGATGTTTTCAGGTTTCTAAAGTAGGTTAAGTTTTAGATGGGATAAAGAAAATTCTAAAACTTAAGAGGGAAACTAGGTATCTGAAGATATCTGTTGTACATAGTATTAGAAAAAAGAATAGATCCATGTTACAGAACTAGTTGAAAAGGTTAAAGTTGATGGAATTTTTTTTATACATAGTATCAGAAAAAAGTATAGATGCATGTTATAGAACTAGTCGATGAAAAGGTTAAAGCTGATGGATTTTTATTTTATTTTTTTTTTTTTTAAGTAAAGTTCTTGCCTTCTGAGTTCTTGGCTAAGAAGATCAACTTAACAAGAACACGCAAAGGGCTTTGGTCTAACCATGCCTAACTACTAGTTTCCAAAGAGTGCCAATCAAGTAGTGAACACTTCAAGTGGTGATTTTGTCCGACTTTGAGGAAACCCACACAGCAATCCCCAACCCCTTTCAATTTTGTTACATTGAGCACTTAACTAATATAATCACAACTTTCTAAAAGCAAAGGGGTGGTTGTGGAAAAAAAGAAAAAAACAACTTTCCATAAAAAAATAAATTGGAAAGGAAGTAATAACCACTTGTAGAACCTCATGGACTAGTTTAACATTGTTCCAATAAACCCGTGGTTTTTAGTAATTTACTTACATTTTGGGGGTGAAGAAGGGTAATCATCCTTGAAAAGCATCCGTAGTTTAAATAAGCCTCCTTCCCATGGTGTCTATAAAAAATTATGGTAGAGTTTATATTACAGCAAGGAAAAGTCAAACTTGTGGAAAACAGCTTATCAAGAATAAAGTTTTCGGGCAAAGCACAAGACAGCCTTCTGCTACACAGCAGAAAATAGCCATCCTGCACTGTAGCATGCTGTCTACACTGAGACAAGTTATCCTACCTATACAAGGAGTTGAAGAAAGGAAACCCTGCTTTTCCACTTTTTCCATTATGGTGAGTAAGCATTGCTGAGTTATTAAGAAAGCTGGGATCATGACCAATAATTCCATTTCCAAGTAAAATTTTCATAGTACATACAAGAATACATTACTTCTAAAGTTTTATATGATACACATGCAATGAGGAAGGGGCCATTATACCCCCACTTAAAATATCCTAAAAATAGTATATGGATACACTCCTTAAGCACATGGATGTACATGTATTTTGCCTCATAAGGATGTAGCCATGAAAACCACAAATGCACAAAAAATTTGGACAGCACTGTAGTATTGCTACAGTTAATATGAGGTTCACTAGTCTAAACCATCTGAGGAACCTGAAGGTGCACAAGTCCATGGGACCTGATGAGGTGTATCCACAAGTCCTGAGAGAACTGGAAGATGAAGTTGCCAAACCACTGTCCATAATATTTCAGAAGTCCCGACAGTCTGGTGAAATTCCCACAGACTGGAAAGGGGGTAATATAATCCTCATTTTTAAAAATGGGAACAAGGAAGATCCAGGGAACTACAGGCTGGTCAGTCTCACCTCTGAGCCTGGCAAGACCAGGGAGCAGATACTCCTGGAAACTATGCTAAGGGACATGGGAAGTGAAGAGGTGATTGGTGACAGCCAACATGGCTTCACCAAGGGCAAATTGTGCCTGACCAATTTGGTGGCCTTCTATGTTGGAATTACAGCACTGGTGGATAAGGGAAGAGCAACTGATGTCATCTACCCGGACTTGTGCAAGGTATTTGACACTGTCCCAAACAACATCCTTGTCTCTAAGCTGGAGAGGCATGGACTAGATGGATGGACCACTTGGTGCATAAGGAATTGGCTGGATATTCACACTCAAGGAGCTGCGGTCAACAGCTTGATGTCCAAGTGGAGACCAGTGACGAGTGGTGTCTCTCAGGGGCTGGTATTGGGACCAGCACTGTTTAACAAAATCTTTGTCGGCGACATGAATAGTGGAACTGAGTGCACCCTCAACAAGTTTGCAGACTGCACCAAGCTGTGTGGTTCTGTTGACACGCTGGAGGGACGGGATGCCATCCAGAGGGACCTTGACAGGCTTGAAAGGTGGACCCGTGCAAATCTCATGAAATGCAACAAGGCCAAGTGCATGGTCCTGCACCTGGGTTGGGGCAACCTCAAGCACAAATAAAGGCTGGATGGAGAACAGATTGAGAGCAGCCCTGAGGAGAAGGACTTGGGTTGGGGAACTGGTGGACAAGAAGCTCATCATGAGCCAGCAAAGCATGCTCGCAGCCCAGAAGGCCAACTGCACCAAGCGAAGCATGGCCAGCAGGTCAAGGTGATTCTGGCCCTCTATTCCACTCTCATGGGACTCCAGCTGCAGTGCTGCATCCAGTTCTGGGGCCCCCAGCACAAGAAAGACAATGGACCTACTGGAGTGAGTCCAGAGGAGGCCACAAGGATGATCCAAGGACTGGAGCACCTCTGCTGTGAGGACAGGCTGAGAGAGTTGGGGCTGTTCAGCCTGGAGAAGAGAATGCTGCAGAGTGGCCTTATAGTGACCTTCCAGTACCTGAAGGTGCTCCAGGAAGGCTGGGGAGGGACTTTTTAAAAGGGCAAGTAGTGGCAGAATGAGGGGTAATGGCTATAAAATGGAAGAGGGTAGATTTAGATTAGAAATTAGGAAGAAATTATTTCCTGTGAGAGTGGCGAGAGACACTGGCCCAGGTTGCCCAGAGAAGCTGTGGCTGCTCCTCCCTGGAAGTGTTCAAGGCCAGGTTGGATGAGGCTTTGAGCAACCTGGTCTAGTGGAAGGTGGCCCTGCTGATGGCAGGGGGGTTGGGACTGGATGAGCTTTAAGGTCCCTTCCAGCCCAAACCAGTCTGGGATTCTATGATGCTGTATATAAACTAACCCTGTCTGCATTTGGTAGCAAGCAGTCTCACAGATTCCATCTTTCTTTGCAACAAACATTCTAAGGAGCTTTTTATCCCCATCAGAAACTGTCGAGAGCTCTGATAAGAGCAGTTCCCATGCTACAGAGCAGACCAAATAAGACAGCACTACACAAAAGGGTCATATAAACAAGGAAAAACATCTCGCAAAGGACAAAAGGCCTGTCTCAAATACATACTTCTTGTCATCTCACTTGGAAATAAAGAAAAAAGCCCACCTTCTGACAAACTGATTTCTGGTAAGAAGTGTAGAAATATAGAAAAGTTTATTATATAGGTAAAATTCAGACCACTTCTCTGTAACTTGCCAATGCTATGGAAACACTGCAATGAATGTAATTGTTGGGTTCATTCTTGAAAACAAACTGGAGTAAAGACGGTCTCACATCTTATCAGGATAAATGATCAAATCTTATCCTCGGGGACAGACAGGTATGTTGGAAGACCAACTCAGGAGTAAATCTCTAATTTTTTCCCTATCAGAATTATGTGATTTTTAGCAGGAGGAAAAAACAAAACAAAACAAACAAACAAAAAAAACCCAGCACACCAAAAAAAACCCAGCTCAAAAAAAAGCATTCCATTGTCATTGGGATTTATTGTGCAAAGTCTCAAGGTAGAATAGGAAAAAAAAAGTGCTACAGAATACTAACATAACTGTGTTTTAAAAAGCAAATGAATTTGACTAACATTTACTATAGCGTATTTAAAGGAATTTTTCTGAACAGCTGTAGTCAGTTGTCAATAACTAGAAATATCTATACATTCTCAGAAGAGACAAACTTTTCCATTTTTAGAAGAGAGGAGCCTTTTTATAGAATAAACTTTTCCTATTGTGTTTGCTTTCAGTCATAGGGCAAAACAAATAGTTTTTAATAATTTCTTCGAACACCAGAACAGTCACCAAGAAGTTTTTACTGTCTTTCTGACAGAGCAACATACCTTATGGATAAATGATAGCAGACACTCAAAAGCCTTACTAAGGTAACAGTATGACAGCAGTACCATCAAGATCATATTGCATTACTGGACAGGTTGCAGATATATCTTTAAGTCAAATCCTGGGTAGTTAATAAGTGATTTGCTTTTAAAAAAGTGAATGGAGATACCTGACCCAGGACTAACACCACTTCACTTCGATTTTCTGGCTGACCAGAAAACATTTTGGTGGTTTCAACTACTCATCTGTCACAGGAGAAGCAGCTGCAGTACAGCGTGCCTCCAAATACAAAGGCAACAGAGAGCAACTGGTTGGTCTGCTAGAGATGAGCAAGGCATGCTGCTTCTTGGTAAACAGACTGCATTTTTACTCTAATAAAAACCCTGATTTTAAAAATAAATCTATACCGGGAATCATATGAGCGTAACTGATCTTTTCCTGGTGTCATGTGTTTTCTAAGAGGCAAGAAGTTGTTTTTAAGGGTGTTGTTTGCTCCATTTTGTAGTTTACAAAACTTTAAAGCAGTAGCATGAAGATTTCATATGGCGTGAAGATTTTCCCTAAGTATTTAAAGGTGACATCTTGATAAAGTACATAGCTGGCCATTATGAGGGATAATCTTGTTTTGGCAGACCACGAGGGGATGAGTTTTTCCTTACATTGTTAAATTATTTTTAGGCGCTTCTTTAAGAACCACCTTGAGCTGCATGGACAACTACCAAAGTACTGAGCTAAGTTACAACCGTAACAGCAATGCCATGTTCAGCATTAAACAGAGGCAGTAGTACAGAATCTGCAGGTTTTGCCTATGCACTTTGTCTTCTCACAACCTAAGAAACAAGATCCTAAGACAACTTACAGAAGTTCACAAGAGGCAGCAGAACAGGCAAAGCACCAAAAGAAGTCCCACATCCAATGCAAAACACTAAAGACCCAAAAGCATGAAAGCCATCAAATATTCATCTTGAGATAACCAAGCATTATCTCAGAAGAAACAACTGCATCCAAGGAATTAAAGAATAATCCCTACATGCTAAGTAGCATCTTCAAAAATAGAAACAAGATTCTGCTCAAATGAGCAGAATGAGATGTTTTAATGGCAGTGTACAAAATCAAGTAAGTTCCATGCGTTAATGATTATTTGCATGCGAAAGTTTGCTTTTGTCCTATCCCCTAGAACCAGATCAAGCTGATAAAAATAAACAATTCTGGTCTCTACAGACTTTTTCCTTTCCCTTGTTATTTTAAGGAATGGGACACAGAAGCACAAGTGAAATCGAATAAAAAAAA